AACAGGATTGAACAGAATAACCTGTATTATGAATATCAAGTGACCAGATAACAAATATAAAATAGTGGTTCATACTCTAGTAATAATTTTCTTGTCATTTTAGACTTCTAAAGCTATACAGATCCACTTTGAGACCTGGAAACCCTGAATGCTTACCTTACCAGCTGGAAATAAGAGAATGGGCAGATGGTAAGAAAATTATGAACACTATCTGAAGAAGTTTTGTGTTTATTACTAAGTTGACCACTGTGTTAATCACTTTTTGTCATGTGATATCTGTCACAGTGTCTGGTTTGTGTTCCCTGGGTTTGCACTAGAGGTCTCTTCCCCTGATCGTCACCACCTCATTATGAACTGCATTTCCCATAATCCTGTGTGATATCATCTTTTTCTTTCTGTTTTTCCTTACAGTTCCTCTACAGTTTTTGGTGACTTGACAGAGGACACTACATGTGGGCTCAACAGTCTCATCAATCTGAGGTCACTCAGAAGTCAACACAGACAGGCTGTAAATGCATACAGCAGTATAGGTGCTTTCGAGGACATTAAGGACAGCACCGATGCACTGAAGATGTGTACAAAATAAACTTGACTTGCCTTTATATTAAACAGCCATTTTTATGGAGAGATTTACAGTATAAGGGGATTGCCATTAGAAACCCAACTGTTGGAAAATAGTGCACTTTGACTTTTACATTTCAAACCAAAGCTAATAAGTGTTTTTACCCATAGCTTAGAGATAATCAAGGGCAACATATCTACAGGAAATTATTGACATGATTATAAATCATGGCCCTTTGCTAAAATTTACAGATTGTTTTTATTAGAAACAAAGACAAAATACTAACTGTTGATAAAGTTCTTTTTTGAGCTTTTTTTTTTATTGCTTTTCCGTTTTCAGCACTTTTATAGAATGTCAATTATTTAATCTAAGATTTTATTAAGATATATTTAGCTGCCTTAATTCTTAAATTCAAAACTCAAAAATGAAAGAAGAAATTATCAAAAATTTAAATTGGACTTTTTTTTCTGACATCAAAAAAGAAAAGCTGTCGTTTCTCCTGACTGGCACCAAGTAGCGAATGAATAACGTTAAAAGTCATTTAGCATTTTATTACAATGCATTATTTGCTTTTCACGTGTTCATTAACCTATAAGACTACTGACTTATATTGTTAAGAGACAGTTTCAATCTCTGCCAATTTAACTGTTGGTGGTGTTTGTTGGGTTTTTGTATCCCTGTTTGGTAGTGAGCTTGTTAGTTTCAGCCCAAAACTCCTTAGTACTGCTTTAAATAAATCATTGTTATTTTTGCATGTAAAAAATACATTGGCAGGGTATGTAATATTGCCAAGTATGATTCTGATGTACTTTACTTTAGTATTTCCATATTATACTGTACGTGTATGTATGTAGGCCATGTATGCAATATCTATATACTGTTTGTTGTTTCAGCATACTTGTTGATGAACACCATCAAATAGAATTTAAACCATAGATGTTTTTCTGTTATGCTTTCCATATTGCATCATCAAAATGTACATAATATAGACAATAAAATCAGATTACCGGTATACTACAGTGTTCACTGACATCTTGTAAAACTGTATGGAGAAATATCTTCCGTTGTCTTGATGCATACATATGTGCACTACTGTAATAAACACAATTGTAATGACATTGCCTGTTGTGTGAACTTAACAGAATACATATTTAATTTTTTTTTTTTAAAAGAAAGTAGGGTTATACTTTTATTCAGCAAGGATACATTAAATTGATCAAAAGTGACAGTAAAGACATTTACAATGTTACAAAAGCTTTCTATTTAACAATGTTACAAAAGCTTTCTATTTAACAATGTTACAAAAGCTTTCTATTTAAAATAAATGTTCTTTTAAACTCCATTCATCAAATAAATAAAATGTATCATGCTGACTCTTTAGATTAATGCAGATGCTCACAAGTTCATGACTCAAGTAAAAACACTTAAATAGTACACATTTTACTGTGGTACATACATATGTGCATTACTGTAATAAACACAATTGTGATGGCATTGCCTGTTGAGTGAACTTCCTATGAAAGTACCATTAGGACACCTAATTGGCTGACTCTTTAGACTAATGCAGATGCTCACAAGTACATGACTCGTGCAAAAACACTTAAATAGTGTATATTTTACTTGGGTGTAGTACATACATATGTGTACTACTGTAATAAACACAATTGTGATGGCATTGCCTGATGTGAGGTTGAAGGCTGGAGTTTGGGCCTCCTAAGACCTCACTGAAACCATGCCTGCGACAGGGCTGTGTCCATGAAATGTTGAAATTAAAGCCTTGACGTAGGACTAAACCAAATACATTGTTGGAAAGGTCTTGGCCTGGAGAGTAATATATCTCAGTATGAAGATTGGAAATGGCTCCTGCTTTGAAATATTGACCTGTGAACCTTGACCTCAGTGCATGTTGAAAGCCTTGTCATTCAGGAACAGAAGGGGCTACAGACATGGGACCAATTGTTATAGAGAGCTCTTGACTTTAGCTATGTGACTATACTATTATGGATAGAGTCACTAAAAGGGGGTGCAGTCAATTATGGTCAAAATTGATTTTCACCTATTTAGCAGTTAGATATTTAAAATATTATCACACAAATGGGATTAACATCCACTTAAATCCCTAAGTGTACTCTTAGTTAAGTATTTATAACTTCCGATTTTAAGTAGTAAGTTATATTTAATTTAAAACTACAATTCCCTATAGCAGCGCCATGCATATTGATACAAATTAGCGTCATATTTGTAGTTCTTCCCATTAGCAAAGTATTGCTGTGAATAGGGTTAGGGTGAATAGGGTTGTAAAAAGATACATCTACTGAATATATCAAACATATTGTACAGCCGAAGTCGTTCTTTCACTGTATTTAGATGATCTATGTTAAGAAAAAGTAAAGATGTTAGTTTATATTTTGAAACAGCTTTAAAAAACATCAGCACCACAGCTCGTCCTGTTAGCAAAATAGGAGTTAAAAATAAGGTTATAAAACCATATATGAACAGAATATAACAAGGTTTTACTGCAGCCGGAGTTTTAAAACGTTTGTTTGGCCATATGGTTTTACTAAACTGCCCCTTTGTGCTTAGAAATTAGCAGTTAGCATAGCTACACAATAGCCTAATGCACTTTGTGTTAGCAGCGTAAGGATTAACGTGCTTTATATGAATAATGCTATTTGGGTGAATACGGCGCTGTTTGTATTTAGTTTGCGTTTACTTTCGGACGTGAAACAATAGTATTTACTATAGTAAATTGTAGTATACTGTATTATAGTATTTACAACACTTTGTTAATGAATGCTGCATACTGTAGGGGAGAACGGGGTAATGTGAGACATCGGGTAATATGAACCCCTGTATCTAGGCAACGGAATACATTTGTGGTCATGTGACCATTATGTTTTCAAGCCCCTCAAATTTCCCCTTGGCCATGAAGGAGAGGACCTCATAGTGCTGTGGTAAGCATGTTTATTTCACACAAAAAAAAATTTCATGTAAAAGTACATTTTCAATTTTCTTGCTGTCAACTTCATCAACTGTTGTGCCAAAGCAAATTGATTCAGGTAGAAAAACTTATATCATACATGTTGCACAATGTGCAGGTAGGCTAGGGTGTGCAAGAGATCACATGATTCTGTAGATTAACTAAGGCCAACTGATCTTGCCACAAAGTTAAATCGTATAGCTAATAATGGACTGTCTACTATAGGTGAAGATTGGTTTGACAGCTTCCTAGCACGTCGCCATCGCTCTGTCCGATCTCCAGAGGCAACATCCCCGGGCAGGGCTACAGCCTTTAATAAAACTGCAGTCGGGGAGTTCTTTGACAATCTGGCTGTAGTGATGGACATGTTCCTAAAAGTGATGTGGTGAAGAAGCTGCCTCAATGTAAAAGGCCTTGAGGAACCACGCATGTGTTGTAAAAAGTGTATACTGTTGTTGATCCATTTGTCAATGTAGTAAATATGTTGTGAACAAACATGTAAAATATAAAAATGACAAACGATAACCAACCTGTGACATAATGACGATCATTGTTTTACTAGAGATATTAAGAATCAGTCAGGCAGTGATAGAAAATTCAGGTTCAAGGTTTTATTCTTTACAATGGGGAGAGAGCATGGCATTCTCTCAACTGCCAACTAAACACATTCCACTGCGTACATACATACTTCTCACTAAAACAAAGGATATTACCACAACAGTTGCCATATTTACATTCAGATGAGATAAAAAAAATGTATAACATGCATTATGATTTGTGCAGTGGAGAGGACAGAATCTATAATTCATCATCTGTAGAGGCATCTGTGGAGACATGCTCATATGGGTCTTCCTCTTCTTCTTCTTCAACAACAACAGCTCCACCATTCCCACCTACCACTATTTGTGAGTAAGTTTCTTTCACAGCTACCAGGTCCGTCTTGAGCTCCTCAAGTTTTTGGAGGACAGCACTGTACAGGCCATGGTAAGCTTGACCAGAAAGACCTGAAGGGTAGCCTAAAAATCAAATTGGTGTATACAATAAAAACATATTTGAAGTGTGCACTAATACATCAATATGGCAGTTTCTATGAATTACCATCTCTAAAGCTGTTTAATATAACTGTATGAAGTAAACAGCATAAAGAAATTAGTACTCACTCTGTGTGGCCAGGTCATCTGATAGTACACTAGCCTGGTCCTTCAAGGCCCTGCAGGTTCTTGTAAGATGGGTCCAATGCTGTTTCATTTCTTCCTACAAGTATAGCCTCTTCCTCAATCAGTCTCTCCAGCTGCATCACCTTGTCAAAAACCTTCTTCTTCATGCCTAAGGAAGTGTCATGTTCTATGAAGACAAATGACCAATTCAATTAACCACCATACTAAAATACTACCTCTTAATGCCTTTTGGGAGTAAAATCCAATAGCGTTACAATTCTCTGTCCCTACAACATAGGCATCAAGTGATTGGTGTTGAATCTACAGTAGGGAAAAGAAAAGGGGCGAACCTCCTTGACACATTAATCTGAGGAATCAGACCTTTACTCACTTCCTCTAGTGTAGTTTGAGTGGGCAAAAACAAGAAGGTTTCAAGAATAAAATAAAATTATTGTCTGTCTCCGATGTTCTGAAACAAATGGGGATTCACTAAAATGATTAATGTCAAACTTTACATACCAGAATCCCAAGGCCAGATAGGGCTTTCTGTTGCCAGAAGGTCTTCAATTGAATCTACAGACTCTGTGGTGGTTGGAAGATCATTGTATTGGGATATGGCATTAAACAGCTTTTTCTTGTCCTCTCTAATCCGTCTTCGGATCTTGTGTCGCTGTTTGTTACGGTCTGCCGCAAAAAACACAGCAAAAGAGGTTTAAGGAGGATACGCATAAAGTTGATCATTGTGCTAATGGACATCCAAAAGGCACCTTACAAATTATGGTAGAAAGCTCACATAACATCAGCGATTAAAAATGCAATTGTAGAATATTTTGACAACACTTCTGGTCATTTAATCATAATAAATAATCTGGAATCTGGCCAATGTTCAAGTAATGCAGGGAGTTGGGCGATGGTAACTAGGGATGGCCCGATACCATTTTTTTTCAAACCGATACGAGTACGAGTATTTACATTTGTGTACTTGCCGATACCGAGTACCGATACCGATATTTCTACCGCAAAAGTAATAGGCTCCCAGAAAAGAAGACGACTATTTTAGAACACAGGTTAGAAGACTGTTTTTATTTTCTTCTCTGCTTGTTTTAACAAGTCTAAAAATAAATAAAAATTAGTAAAATAATAAATGTATTAACTAGGGGTGTAACAGTACACAAAAATCACGGTTCGGTACGTACCTCGGTTTTAAAGTCACGGTTCGGTACGTTTTCGATACAGCAAAAAGAAAGAAATGCCAGAGAAATTTCTTATTTGTTAAAAGAAAAAATATTTTTAAATAACTGAGTTTTCCTACATCTTGAAACTTTCAGGTTTATAAATGGGGGTCATCTTTGAAGGATGAACAAATAATGTTTTGGTCATCACATTAAAAATAACATTTAAATATATATATATATATTTATTTATATATTATTTGAGTTTTGAAGTGCTGGAAAAAGATGTGTGAAGTACTTGAAAGCAGTTCACTATTCCAGCCAAACTGGTTACAGTTAGTGTTAGCCTACTATATTAAATCCATGGTGAATGTTGCTGGTCTGTGGACGTAAAGTATTACTAGTTCATTCACGGCACAATGTTTCTCCTGGTGTCCACGTCAGCGCTGTTTGATCTAATAGAGATCTATGGTTAATAACGGAGAAATGTAAATGCTTCTCACTAGATCTCGCAGCGATGTTATTACTTCAGTGGCGAATTCAAATGTTTTCTTTACTGGATCTCTTAGCGCTGTGTTGTAACAGTATCGCTTGATCGAGATCGGCTCGCGCTGCACAGATGTTGCTGGTCAAACGATCCGTGAAGCACAATATAATGAGTAGCGCAGTTTCGTTCCGCTTTCATTACGTTTGCCATTTGATGTTGCGCAACGTTGTGGTGGTCGCGCCAGCGCGAATTTTGTCGGCAAGAAAAATGGTCCAAGGAATCGTTCGGTTTGTATGCGTACCGAACCGGAAGCCTCGAACCGAAACGGTTCAATACGAATACGTGTACCGTTACACCCCTAGTATTAACACACAAACCACTGTTAATTTAACATAAAAGCAAGCAGGCTACTGCGTGCATGGTCTGGCATGACTGAATGCGCGCAAAGTGTGCTCCCTTAATAAATCCTAAAAGCTGACAGTTCATCGCGATCTCACACATCTCTGTTATTATCAATGAAGCTGACTGCACAATCAATCTCTCATAATATCCACACTTTTTTTTTTATAATTAGAGGATTTGCCAGCATACAGAATTCAGCACTGAACAAAAAAGTCCGTTTTGAGCGGTGAGGGGAGTCTATCTTAAATGCTTCTGATTGGCCATTGCGTTCAAGAAATCAACACATATGTCTGTGATTGGCTACATCGCTCAACGCTGTAACCATGTTATGAATAGAAACTCTGGCCTGTAAATCGTTTCTATTTTGTTGTAGTTGTTCTTGTTGCTTTTCTGCAAGAGATGAATAAAAATATTTTAGTTTTTATGTTTTATTCATAGATATTTCTAGTTTGCGGGAGTCCCGCGAATCGTTTTATTCTCCCGCACCCGCACACACAGAGTGAGTGCATTACCGCGCGCGCGCTCGGCCATCAGATCTATGATGCGTCTTCAGATGTTTAATTAGATTGCTGGTGTTAAACGATGTACTTTCTTTCCCTCCTCTCGACACCTTAGCTGAACATAACTCACAGTCTGCCTTGCTGTTGTCATCATCCCTTATCTTGAAATGAGCCCAAACCGCCGACATTATACTTTCCTATGCCTCAGTTCACCTCGACAAAGCACTCACGGCGGCCAGTTTCGTTTTGCAAAATGTACGTGGTATCGGTGCGTGGTATCGGCGAATTTTTATGAGTATGAGTACGAGTATATTAGGACAGTATCGGCCCGATCCCCGATGCCAGTATCGGTATCGGGCCATCCCTAATGGTAACATTGGACATATAGGAAGGCAGCACTGTTCACTCAATATAAGAAGGTTATGTAGTGGTTTAAGTGCACAGTGTAGATGATAGACTTTGTTTTAAGATGTGATTCAATTTAAATTACTTGGTTATAGCCATATATATCACATTTTAAAATGAACTCCACAAGAACATGAAGGCATGGAGGCTACTTACCGGTTACTCGATACAGATCCCGCTTTTTCTGCTGGATGCCCAAGAATAGGCCTTCAATCAGATGTTGCAACGCCACTGGATCATCTGTTCTGAGGTCATCTGGAGCTGTAAAGAATTTGTGAAGGTCTTTCATCAGTATCATGCATTTTCTGTGCCACACCAATCGGATTAGACCGTTAGAATCTCTCTAAAAAAAAATTACCAAAGAGTTTCAATATTTTTCCTATTTAAAACTTGACTCTTCTGTAGTTACATCGTATACTAAGGATCGGACGGAAAATGAAAAGTTGCGATTTTCTAGGCTGATATGGCTAGGAACTATACTCTCATTCCTGCGTAATAATCAAGGAACTTTGCTGCCGTACCATGTATGCAGCAGGCGCAATGATATGACGCAGCGCCTGAAAATAGTGCCCAGCTAGGTAAGTGACTGGAAATTACGTGCCTAGCCATATCGGCCTAGAAAATCGCAACTTTTCATTTTCCGTCGGTCTTAGTGCACGATGTAACTACAGAAGAGTCAAGTTTAAATAGGAAAAATATCGAAACTCTTTGATCATTTTTTTGAGAGAGATGCTAACGGTCTAATCAGATTCAATGATGTATGCTAAGCTATGCTAAAAGTGGTACCGCCAGACCCAGAGATCGGCTGAATGGATTCGAAAACGGTAAAACTCAACGGTTAAACTCTGGGGGAGTTGTAAAATGAGCCTATTTCCAAAAAGGTGGAGTGTTCCTTTAAGGGGTCAGGTGTTAAAACACAAACTAGCAAGGAAAAATAAAGTTTTTTAATCATTTTTAAATTTATGATAATTTTCTATTGATAGGAGACTGCAACAAGTAAATACTTACTGTCAACTGCCCACTGTCTCACATCAGTGACCCACTGTTGTAGTTCCTCATCAGACCTTTGTGTGCACTTCTTTATAGCCTCAATGTCCTCTTTGACGTCCTTTGTCTTTTGGATAGTCTCAAAAATATAATTAATGGAAAGTCACACAAACCTTCGGCAATACTAAAAGTATTAGATACTATGTACAACTTATCAGTGGACTTTAGTCAGTTGAAATTTAACCTTGATTGATGAAATCTTTATTTTTAATTACCTTCAAGTACCGTGTAGACAAGTACTTGTGCAGGTTTCTTTTTTTCCGCTCATTCCATCCTCTGGCATGCAATGTGATCATATCTACTCGTGCTGTAATGATGAAAGGATTAAATGTGCTTTTAAACTAGTGATTTGTCACCAAGTATGATGAATGAAAGAAAACGATCAAAAAGCAAGCTGTTTTAACAATTATAACGCTACCAAAGCACAACACATGAGAACTGTAAAAAAGGACCACTTACTAGCCTTACTCATGTATTTTGTAGTTAGAGCCACACGGGACAAAAAGCTGTTGACTTGTTCAACTTCTTCACCAATCGTTGTGCCTGCCCCTGTTTGGTTTTTGCCACCCCACTGCACCTACAGCATACACACCAGATGTCCAAAATAAAAATATCACGTTAAAGGACGTCAAAATGGTAAAGAGCTTACCATTTTGTTCGAGAATATACATTTACCTCACATTTTGTAGAGTGCCCCTTTGCATGCATAACTGAGAGAAATGGCTTCATCTGAGTTAAGTTTTGCATTTCTGGGAATGCTTGAGCCACCTTTTGCAGATAGGGCCAATATCTACACATTATGTCAGTGCAGAAGCACTTGCAGTTTGTTTTTTTGGCCAGTTCGTTTTGCAGAAACAGAGAATATGCAAATATCTCCCCTCTAAACATGTTCAGACCTCTAAGCAATATGCAGTGTCTGCAAACTGCCACCTCTAGGCCCTCTTCATCACATTTGGTGTTTGTCTTTTTAGAGGTCTCCCTGGCTGCAGCCCATGTTGATGTTCCACATATGCCTTTTCCATGTACCTGTAACACAGTGTCATATCAAATATATACAAACTAAATCCTGATTCACTGTGTACAATCCCAAGTCTTTTGACAAATATCTTACTGGAATAGTCTTCTCACGAACACAATCAACAAATGTTGCTACAGCTTTGTCATTGGCCAGAAAAACTCCATCAAAAAATGGTTGATCCTCTGCCCTACATAAAGAAAATGTTAATGACAAAAAATATTCACAAGAAATGTTGACAGAGTAATGTTATTAATAACATATTGATTAAAAAAAAAATCTAGACATCTTTTATGTCAACCCCTGATCAATTAATACTAGCACTTACCTTTTCTATTCTACACTATTATATTTGTTTTCCTGATTTAACAAATAAAATAATAATACCTTGCTATGTGTACTGTGCTAGAGTAACTGAGACTTGTTAGATCACTTGTATACTGTTGCCCTCTTGATGGTCTGATTCAGGAATAGGCAACATCGATCCTGGAGTGCCGCTGTCCTGCAGAGTTTAGCTCCAACCCTGATATAAACTCGCCTGCCTTTAGCATTAGTAATCCTGAAGACATTGATTAGCTTGCTCAGGTGTCTTTGATTAGGGTTGGAGCTAAACTCTGCAGGACAGTGGCACTCCAGGATCGACGTTGCCTATCCCTGGTCTGATTGCTTCTATTGTTCTCCTCATTTGTAAGTCGCTTTGGATAAAAGCGTCTGCTAAATGATTAAATGTAAATGTAATAATATACCCCTTTGTTTTGTTGAATCTATATAATTTTCTGTTTCCATCTGCAGAAACAGCAACTGTATCTGGGGTGCAAGCTGGGCAGGAGAAGTGATCAATGCCGCAGAGTTTTTCTCTTTCATGACGACAATATGTCCATTCAAGGAAAGCTTTTTGGAAGACGTTGCCACAAATGTTACCACTCTGGAATTATAAAAATTTGAATACAGTGACATGCCAGTAAGACTTGCATAAATGCAGAAAACTAATGGCTTTCAAGTCTTACCCTTTGTTACGTTCCCCTGTTTCTTTTACTAATGTTTGGCTGCTTGGCAGTATGTTTTTCCATTTGTTATTGTGTGCAGGTGTGATCAGGTAACGAGTGGGCGGAGAGACACCCTTTAAAGCTGAGGGACTTCGTGCAGAGAGGAAGGAGAGGAGGGAGAGACTTGTGTACCGGCCACCACGCCTATTGTTGATCTTCCTGCAATGTTTTGCTCTGTTGTATTCATTTCCCAATTTCAGTTTTGTTTATAATTTACTCAATTGTTTAATAAATCCCCTAGACAAACGAGTACAGCTGACTTTGCGGTCACTTTATGTTGTGGCCAGTGTGCCTGATCATAACACCCTTCCAAATTGCTGTGAGCGCTTTTGTAACATTTTCACAAATGCTTGTCTTGAAAGCCCAGGTGCAGTGATCTTCAGCTCCTCAAACGACGTGAAAAGGTCTACCTGGGGCCTATACCATGAAGCCGGTTTAGGTGGCTAGCCAGCTATGTTTCAGCTTAGTTTCCGCCAACCCTGGGTTTTAGGTACTATGAAAGTAGCTCGGCTTTAATCGGTGTTCGTTGCCATGGTACCTTACGCTGCACGGCTAGCCTGCTCCGGGGCAGGTTAAGTTCTGGATTCGAGATCTCAGACTGAAGTTTGACCAATCAGCTGTGAGCAAAGAAACATATAGGTGACGTAACTAATTCCCAGTGTTTGTTGCAATGGCTTTACATTTTCTTTCAAATCCTGTGGACATCTCAGCGCAAATTGTTAGACGAGCACATCGTAGAGAAAGAGTTTTTTAGCCGGACAAAATCCCCTTGCCTTTTCTGATAGTGTATGAAAGATACAGATTTTCTGCGGAAGGAATATCTTATCTTTGCAAACTTCTTGAGCCGCACATATATAATTTAACACATCGAATTCATGCACTTACTGTACCATAAATGGTATTGCGTTTCGTTTTTTTTTTTTGCAAGTGGTAGCCTACATACTTGCACGATCGGTGATGCACAGAATCTAGGGGGAAACACGGTTTGTCGAACCATTCGCAAGGTGGTCCTCGCTCTGCAGGAGTACATTAATAGTTTAATAGTGTTCCCCAGACATTTATTGACCATGTCCATAAGAGAGGGTTTTTATAAAATTGCCGGTAAAATATATTGATAGGGTGACATCACGTTTTTTTTTCTTTCAAAAAGCAAATTTCACAAATGTACTATTTAATACAGTACATGTTAAGCATTATTTTAATCTTATGATAGGATTCCCTATAGAGTCATTGGAGCAATAGCCTGCACACATGTTGCAATCTCCACTTCTCTAGGAGAACATGAGGCAGATTATGTTAATAGAAAGTCCTTTCACAGCCTTAATGTTCAGGTAGAGATTATGTGAACATGTGAAATTATTATTTTCTGTGAGATGAATCTTTAAATTAATAGTAAAATTAACAGATAACAATCTACTTTCCTTGAGTATGTTGTGTCAGCGCTTTGAGGAAAGCTAGTTAAATTTAGTACAGTACGAACTAAAGGAGCCTATGGAGGGGGGGGGGGATAGAAACTTTCTATTTCTTTGCAATAGAAAGTTGCATTAATAAATATTCATGCTAAAGTGTTACTTGGTTAAATAAGTTCACATACTGAGATCAGTTTAATCTAGCTGTTACATTTATTTTTTAAATGTGGAGCCTCCTCAGCTCACAGTCAGGCTCCTTTAGTGTGCAGTCTAGCTCTATAGGCTCCTTTAGTGTGCAGTCTAGCTCTATAGGCTCCTTTAGTGTGCAGTCTAGCTCTATAGGCTCCTTTAGTGTGCAGTCTAGCTCTATAGGCTCCTTTAGTGTGCAGTCTAGCTCTATAGGCTCCTTTAGTGTGCAGTCTAGCTCCATAGGCTCCTTTAGTGTGCAGTCTAGCTCCATAGGCTCCTTTAGTGTGCAGTCTAGCTCCATAGGCTCCTTTAGTGTGCAGTCTAGCTCTATAGGCTCCTTTAGTGTGCAGTCTAGCTCTATAGGCTCCTTTAGTGTGCAGTCTAGCTCCATAGGCTCCTTTAGTGTGCAGTCTAGCTCTATAGGCTCCTTTAGTGTGCAGTCTAGCTCTATAGGCTCCTTTAGTGTGCAGTCTAGCTCCATAGGCTCCTTTAGTGTGCAGTCTAGCTCTATAGGCTCCTTTAGTGTGCAGTCTAGCTCCATAGGCTCCTTTAGTGTGCAGTCTAGCTCTATAGGCTCCTTTAGTGTGCAGTCTAGCTCTATGGGCTCCTTTAGTGTGCAGTCTAGCTCCATAGGCTCCTTTAGTGTGCAGTCTAGCTCCATAGGCTCCTTTAGTGTGCAGTCTAGCTCTATAGGCTCCTTTAGTGTGCAGTCTAGCTCTAAAGGCTCCTTTAGTGTGCAGTCTAGCTCTAAAGGCTCCTTTAGTGTGCAGTCTAGCTCTATAGGCTCCTTTAGTGTGCAGTCTAGCTCTAAAGGCTCCTTTAGTGTGCAGTCTAGCTCTATATGCTCCTTTAGTGTGCAGTCTAGCTCTATAGGCTCCTTTAGTGTGCAGTCTAGCTCTAAAGGCTCCTTTAGTGTGCAGTCTAGCTCTAAAGGCTCCTTTAGTGTGCAGTCTAGCTCTATATGCTCCTTTAGTGTGCAGTCTAGCTCTATAGGCTCCTTTAGTGTGCAGTCTAGCTCTAAAGGCTCCTTTAGTGTGCAGTCTAGCTCCATAGGCTCCTTTAGTGTGCAGTCTAGCTCCATAGGCTCCTTTAGTGTGCAGTCTAGCTCTATAGGCTCCTTTAGTGTGCAGTCTAGCTCTATAGGCTCCTTTAGTGTGCAGTCTAGCTCCATAGGCTCCTTTAGTGTGCAGTCTAGCTCTATAGGCTCCTTTAGGGTGCAGTCTAGCTCTATAGGCTCCTTTAGTGTGCAGTCTAGCTCTATAGGCTCCTTTAGTGTGCAGTCTAGCTCTATAGGCTCCTTTAGTGTGCAGTCTAGCTCCATAGGCTCCTTTAGTGTGCAGTCTAGCTCTATAGGCTCCTTTAGTGTGCAGTCTAGCTCTATGGGCTCCTTTAGTGTGCAGTCTAGCTCTATAGGCTCCTTTAGTGTGCAGTCTAGCTCCATAGGCTCCTTTAGTGTGCAGTCTAGCTCCATAGGCTCCTTTAGTGTGCAGTCTAGCTCTATAGGCTCCTTTAGTGTGCAGTCTAGCTCTATAGGCTCCTTTAGTGTGCAGTCTAGCTCCATAGGCTCCTTTAGTGTGCAGTCTAGCTCTATAGGCTCCTTTAGTGTGGAGTCTAGCTCTATAGGCTCCTTTAGTGTGCAGTCTAGCTCTATAGGCCCCTTTAGTGTGCAGTCTAGCTCTATAGGCTCCTTTAGTGTGCAGTCTAGCTCTATAGGCTCCTTTAGTGTGCAGTCTAGCTCCATAGGCTCCTTTAGTGTGCAGTCTAGCTCCATAGGCTCCTTTAGTGTGCAGTCTAGCTCCATAGGCTCCTTTAGTGTGCAGTCTAGCTCCATAGGCTCCTTTAGTGTGCAGTCTAGCTCTATAGGCTCCTTTAGTGTGCAGTCTAGCTCCATAGGCTCCTTTAGTGTGCAGTCTAGCTCCATAGGCTCCTTTAGTGTGCAGTCTAGCTCTATAGGCTCCTTTAGTGTGCAGTCTAGCTCTATAGGCTCCTTTAGTGTGCAGTCTAGCTCCATAGGCTCCTTTAGTGTGCAGTCTAGCTCTATAGGCTCCTTTAGTGTGGAGTCTAGCTCTATAGGCTCCTTTAGTGTGCAGTCTAGCTCTATAGGCCCCTTTAGTGTGCAGTCTAGCTCTATAGGCTCCTTTAGTGTGCAGTCTAGCTCTATAGGCTCCTTTAGTGTGCAGTCTAGCTCCATAGGCTCCTTTAGTGTGCAGTCTAGCTCCATAGGCTCCTTTAGTGTGCAGTCTAGCTCCATAGGCTCCTTTAGTGTGCAGTCTAGCTCCATAGGCTCCTTTAGTGTGCAGTCTAGCCCCATAGGCTCCTTTTGTAAAGGGCCCTGAGTCTGACTGAGTCTGTTTCCACCTGAAAAATAATTCCACCACAAACATGATCATTACAAGTTTTTGGGAGGCTAATCAACTTACAAAAAGTTCCTTGACAAACACCTGTAATATATGTCAAGGGTTTTAAATCCTTACCTTGTTCACATTTCTTTTGAAGCCTGTTGAGGTAGAGGCTTCAGTTGGGACAGGTTGTGAAAAATCCTACAATAAAAGAGAAGTGTAACTTGGGCCAGTCCCTGTTTTATGCCACACATTCAAAT